GCCAAATTAAACTTGATTGGGCCAGTAACTATCCTGCCCACTGTCCCAACCATTTTGCATGCTAGCTCCGGGCCATCAGGGTAGTCCTTGTCGAGCCCTGTAAACACAGGAGGAGTTGGGGTGGAGTTATCCGAAAACAAGCTGAACATTGCTAGCACAAACAAAACTCAGCATTTAAAATGATGAAGAGCAAGCTTATTGGTAGCTAAAGCGACAGCAACCGATCACCTGTGCCATGTAATTGATAAGTAGTTGCCTGTTTTATATTCTATTTTTATTTTATATATATATATATATATATTAACCAAACTTCTTCTCGAGTGTGATATGGTTTGCATACTAATGGAGCATTTTTGCAGACGTAGATAAAGCTGATAGAAATGCAAAGGCCTGATTGTCAAAAATTTATTTGAGCTCTGCAACTTCCTGTGAGCACAGAATTAGCAGTTGAGAATTATTGTGCTTTTGACGTTGTGCAGAGAATTAGTAGAAAAAGAGGATGTATGTATGGGTGCGGCCAATGGAGGACTGGAGAACAACTGACAAGTGACGAATTCCACTAAACTCCACCTGTTAATATCAGCTCTGTATAAAAGCACAAATCAGGAAATGAAATTTCTGCACACCTCTGAATGTAACAGAATTCTGTGAATCGAATTATTCATTTGTAACCAATAAATGACTAATATTTTTGACATTGAAGAAATACATCTCCTGATCTTTTTTACTGAACACCCATAGAATGGATTAAATATTCTAACGAGACTTTGTTTTTGTTTTTTTGTTTTCTTTTAATAGTGGAAAAAAGAAATATTGATTTATCAGAACAACAGAATCAGAACTTTTTCCATCCTTCTACTGTCAAATTTTGTTGAACCCTAATGAATTAAGGCCTCAGTTTGTTTGTTGTTTTTGGCTGACAAGAGTGGCACCATTTCTGCACTTTTTGTTTATCTGCTTTTTAAGGTTTGATGAGGTGTTGTGCGTTCAGAGATGCTCTTCTGCAGAGCATGCCATTCTCCCCTGACCTCTGGCATACTGAAACTCAGAACTGCCACTCACTGGATATTTTCTCATTTTCGCTCCATTCTCTTTAAACCCCAGGGATTGTCGCGTGAAACAAAAAAAAAACAGTGGATCAGCATTTTCTGAAATACTCAGGCTTGGAAATTCTTTGCTTAAGTTTCTTCACGCAAGTATGCCAAAACAACAGTAACCAAAACTAAATTCTAACCACATTTCTCTGAGACTTAATCCACTTCTCATTGTGTACGGCCAATATCCCCATTTTCACAAGCAATGGAACTTCCAGTTTTAATTTCAGGAAGGAATATACACCGCTCACAAGCACAAAAAAAGGAAATCCACAAAAAACATGCAAATGGTTCAGTCAGTGTACAGTAAGACCCACTAACTTTTCTGAGCTAAAATAGGAACTAAATATGTGCAAAATCTACAGAACAGATTTCAAATAGTCAACTATGATAATCAAATTCAAGCGAGGCAAAAATACATGCGAAAATAAAAGATTCAGCTTATTTTCTGCAATTCAACAGCATTTTCGGTGGGCGCAAATTGTGTGTGGGCTCGGGTTAATGCCATGTTTAAGAAGGCAGCGCAGTGGCCCACTAGAGGTGAGAGGTCATCTGTGTCTCACATTGCTTTAATCAAAAAGGCTGAAGAGCAGACAATTTGCACCGGCAGAGTTGTGACTGTGATATTAAAGAGCAGTCTGCAGTTACACAAAGTGCAGTACAAAAAAACCCCTGAATGGTCTCTCTCATATCTATTTTGCTCTCTTTGAGTCAACAGAGGCCAGGTAGAGAGCAGCACCACAGCCAAACAGCAGGACAACAAAGGCTCACGCTGCTTTTTCGACAGACACACAAACACGCTAGGCTCATGATTATCCGCACCAGTGAAAGCCAGAACAGACAAATCACTTGAAACAACAAATTAGCCGTGAGGAAATCCAATAGCGATGCGACTTTAAAGATGAAGATTAATTTCGGACAAAAGCCGACTGATAGGCATCTATTTCCTGCCTATGGGACTCAGCAGGTCTGAGAGCCTTCGGGGGGGCTCAGATGTATCTTCTGAAACACTCTCGGATTTCTAACGACTTCCCACCTCGCCGATTTCCATGCCGTCTCAGGACGAGGATCGAGATAAACAGCTGAAACAATCTGTGCCCACTTTAATCCTCGGCCAATCCGGTGTGCCAGAATAAACAGCCCACCGAGGCCACAAACAAATCCAAGAGCAGAGCAGATACGGAAGAGCAGAGCGTGTACACAACAAAAGCACGGACGGAAAGGTGACCGGCGCTGGGGTCACACCACACTCTATTATTATTTCTACATGAATCAGGCGCTTCCTTTCAGATCTGAGCAAGACGATGGCTTTACAGGATGCATTTGAGAGCAGACGACACGGAAAGACGGACACACTTCACACCGCCGAGGCAGGATGGCACCGAGCCATTCTGCTGCTGACATGCACACATTTACTGGACATTAACACTCCTGCCAAACTGCGACAACTTGAAGGCAAAACTGTCGGAGAAGCAAGTCCTGCAGAGAATTTGCCGTCGATTAGTGCTGGAGGGATTATAATGTGCACTTTAGACTGGGGGCTTAAATGCGACCACAGAAGAATAGAATTATCACATTAGACACAGATAGAGCAACAAGTCTGTGGGGATATTAGCAAGGAACTAAATGAGACGGAACGCCGCTCCAGGCTTGCTGTAGTTTACATTATACCTGGATTAGAAAGCTAAATTAACACCTCTGCAATTAAAAGGAACCGTACCACATGGTAGCCAAATGGCGATGCTAGCATTAGCCCGCAGTGCAAATCTGTTCAGTCTTTATATTTTAACCAGATTCAGACGAACGCAATTAGCATGATATTTCTTAAGTGGGAGAAAAGCAGCGCTATTGATGACAGAAAGATTTCTGATTAAATTAGGCAAACCTATGTTTGAGAGAATTGTGTTAATGAGATGCTGCATGATAATTAGCATCAATTAATTGTAAAAAAACTAGGCAGACTAGAGTAGGGCTTTCACTGAAGTGGGGCGTTTAAGGTATTCCGTGCAAATTAATTAGGAAGACTTTAATGTTTTATCCACTTGCCTGAGTCTCAAATCTGAGTGAGCCGCCGGAGCAGTCTTCAGCACGTTCATCATAAAACACTAATATCTAGAATAGGCATGGGACGATAACTGTTTTTAAGGTATACCAAGGTTTGGAAAAGTTACGTTTTTAAAACTGCCAAAATTTACAATACCGTTCTTACGGTATGTGTCAGAATTTATTAACGTTTTTTTGCTTGTTTGTTTTTTACGACAACAGTCACTCCAGCAAAAAAGATGCTGTTTTAAATAGTAAAGAAATCTGTGTTTTTGAAAGTAACGAAGACAGCAGAAGTCAATGATTGACTTGAAGTATTTAGTCTGACATGTTTACTGACTCAGAATATTATAAATGTTTCTCAAAATCAAATATATTGTGTTCAAAGGGGAAAAATGTTTTTGTTTTTTACCCACTTATAAAAAGAATGTATTTTAGAGCCGTAATCCCAAAACCGTGAAATCATGATATTTTTATTCAAGGTTATGATACTTTCAGAATCTAATACTGGCTAATGCCAAATATGAAAGCATCGGGATACAGATATTGGGGTGAATAAATATAGTCCTGTGTTGTTCTCAGATGTTGTGCAAACTGTACTGTCAAAACAGTGCAAGATTTAAACCATTTTTCTTTCTGCAAGAAGCTGTTATGCTGAAAGAAAGAATGTGCAACCTTAAAGAGCTATTTTTACTGATGCACTGATGTTACCTAATGTAGTCGGGTCATTGTCCTCAACGCAAGGCATGGAGGGTCTGTCAGCAACGCTGCAGGCAAAGACTCAGTGCAGGAGCATCATGTCCAGATAGATCGCCCAGCGTTTCAAGGTGCAAACTGGATGGAGGATTTCACGAATGCACAAAATCAATAGGAAACATGCTGACTTTAATATGCTGCCAAAGATATTTTCTGAGGCTTCTGTAAAGATGTATTCTCTTGCTTGGATTGCCACAGTTGACATCTAAAGGATTGTATGTTAACATGATTGCATACATTTTATGTTTCAATTTAAGACTATGCAATAAGAATTAAGGTTTACATTTGTTGTTTAAAATAATACTATTTATGTGGATTCAAGTAAACACTAAAAAATGCATGTTTAGAATATAAAAAAATTAAACCAGTGTATGAAAAGTAATGCAAAGGTAATTTGTCAATCTATAGCTAAAGTGGTTCAAGCAATAATGCAACCTAAGTTTTACATGTTGCATTTAGAGCCAGTTATTTCAGTCTATAAGCTAAGTTACTTTGACTTATATTAAAGACTTCATTTCCATCAAGGCATTAAATGGAATTTTGATTGTGAAACTGATTTTTAAATGATATATAGCTTTCATTGAAACATTAATTAAAAAAAAATTGACGCATTTAAACTACATCCACATCTCAGCAAGCGGATAATATATCATACATCACTTCACTCCTCTTAAAGGTCATGACGAGATTCCTCCCAGCACATATCACTAATAACATGACACGAACATGATGTGAAAGCAACGTATGAGAACCGAACCGCCTATTATTCCGCCGACATCCTCAACTAACGTTACAATGGCCACAACTTAACGGGAGTTTTAACGGACAGCGATCCGTCACACGAGATGCTGAAGTCCTCAACAAAACCTCATCTTTTTTACGCGCCGCACGCCTGTCACATTCCCCGTTTATAGTCATGACAACAGGGGCTACATTTCAGCACAACACAAACAAAACCTCCAGCCTCTCTCCGCTCGTCAAAACACAAACACCCCAAAACGCTGGCTCTGGGGATCAGGCATCATTTCCCAAGCAGGAAAGGGCCCGTTATGACGGCGGACCGCGAGGAATGAATGGAGCGCGATGAACGGGGAAATTCCGCCTTACCGGCTGCTGTTTATGTCGATTGGACGCTTTTCCCAGCGGCGGCTGGTGATGCCTCTTCTGGAAGCCGCTCTTCGGGTACTCGCTGTAGGCTTTGTTGATGCCGATTCGGTCCCTCTTCTCCCTGCCGTTGTCTTTTCGGTCTTCTCCCGTGTCCAGACTGCTGAAGTTCCACACGATGAGTGTTTGGACCAGCAGCACTGTCAGCGCGGCTATTAACGCAGACCGCGATCGGCGAGCCAGCTTACGGGCGCACAGACTGCCGAACATCTTCACCCTGAAGCGGCGAGGTGCCACTGCCGTGCGCCGACAGTCCGCTTTGTGGCTCCGCGTCGCTGTAGAGAGAGAGAGAGAGAGAGAGAGAGAGAGAGAGAGAGAGAGAGAGAGAGAGAGAGAGAGGGGATAGAGGGGGCGGTTGGCAAGGGCTCCGCTGGAGGAGAGAGAGAGAAAGAGAGGATGTTAATATATCCTGCGCCTCCTCGTGGCGACACATGCAAACTACACAAGAGTCAGTCCACGAAATGGCCTTTTACATTTCAAAAGGGCGATTTTTATCGATTTCATTTTTTTTGTGGAACAAACAATTGCTAAATTTGGTTTTTAGTTAATATGATAATATTTTATACATATGAGTGTGCCTTCAAAAAGATTTGACAGGTGGAGATTACAGTTCATTACCTGCCATGCACCTTTAGGCAAGGTCATGACCCTTCAAGAGGTTTAATAAAACAACAGTTCAGGTATTTATTTAATAACTGCTTTATAGTCAATATAATGTATAAGTGATATATCATTTAAATTATTTATAGGTCTGTTTATGTTTTTTATATTTTTCTTTTCATTCAGATCAGTCAACCAGAGGAGAAGATTTACATTCGGAACATGCATACTTTTATTTTTCAAACATATTGTAAATATATGTACCCACAATTTGTATTTTGTTTGTAGAGTCTTTTTTTATCTTTCCTGTAAGGATTTTTTTCTGTATTTACAGTTGAAGTCAGAATTATTAGCCCCCTGAATTATTAGTTCTCTTGTTTATTTTTCCCCCAATTTCTGCTTAACAGAGATAAGTTTTCTTCAACACATTTCTAAATATAATAGTTTTAATAACTAATTTCTAATAACTGATTATTTTATCTTTGCTATCATGACAGCACACAATGTTTGACTAGATATTTTCAAGACACTTCTATACAGCTTAAAGTGACAATTAAAGGGTTAACTAGGTTAACTAGGCAGGTTAGGGTAATTAGGTAAGTTATTGTATAATAATGGTTTGTTCTGTAGACAACTGAAAAATATATAACTTAAAGGGGCTAATAATATTGTCCTTAAAATGGCTTTAAAAAAAATTAAAAGCTGCTTTTATTCCAGCCGAAATAAAACAAATAAGACTTTTTTTCCACAAGAAAAATATTATCAGCATACTGTGAACGTTTTCTTGCACAGTTAAACATAATTTGGGAAATATTTAAAAAAGAAAAACAAACTCAAAGGGGGGCTAATAATTCTGACTTCAACTGTATATATATATTAAGTTACAGGGAGAATTTACTGCTGATATTTCTACAGATATCCAATCTTTAATGGTTTGCTGTTTTCAACAGTGATAACAACTTATCTTCCTCTACAGGCAAACCTAAAAAAATATATTATAAAGTGATAAAACTTGCAACCTTCCTTGATGTGTTTACTTTCAGCTTTTCAGGTTGGTTGTTTTCATCTTTTCTTTTTGTAGAGATATTACTGTAGATACATAAAAAATATAATAAATATATAATAAATATGAATATTCAAGTATTTTGATAGCATATTTTGCATATACACTATAGCAGTCAAAAGGTTGGGGTCAGTAGGATTTATAAATGTTTTAAAATAAGCTTCTCCTGCTCAACAAGGCTGCAATAACTTCATCAAAAATACAGTACAAATTGTAAAATTGTGAAATGTTATTGCACTATAAAATAACTGTTTAAACGTAGTTTAAAATTTAATTCAATCAATTATTCAAGGGATTTAAATATACATTTCAGCTTCATTAATCCAGTCTTCAGAGTCACATGATCCTTCAGAAAGCACTCTTATATTAACTATTAATAATATGATTATTAATGGTAATAGTAATAAAAGCAATAATAACTAGAGTAATCATTTCATTTCAAACTACATACATAAAAAAGCTGTTATTTACATTTTTTTAAATTTTATGTAACTTTTTATTTTTACATTTCATAAATACCGGTTTCATAAACAAAATCATTTTCTTAAAAAAAAAAACATGAAAAAAAAACTGATCCAAACTTTTGACAGGTAGTGTACATATATATTTTTAAACACTTTTATTTTTTCTTTTATATGTATATAAATATATATTCATTTCTTTCTCAAATTAAAAGTGCAATTGCTAATACATTAAGGGGGAAAAAGGATATGCAAAAATTAGTTGTTAGTAAAATCCACGTGGAAGAACTGCACACCAGAACAGGCTTGATTGCTCAATAATAAATCTTTGCAACACTTTTAAATATCTAAATCAGCACACTCCTATAAAATATACCCAAACCACAAAAAACAAATGTCATCATTGTAATTTCATTAAAAAACTAAAAATAAATAATATAAACCTCATTAAGTTTCAAAACAGTCTGCTGCTTCCCTTTTTCGATTAGTCATTTCAGCTGGTGATGTATGCAGCTGTATGAGCGAGTGAGTAGCTATAGCCTCGGGGGTGAATCTGTATGGCTACATCATCTTTCAAGCAGCCTTTATTATTGTTCACCCGATCGATGGCTGCTAATTGATAGTGTTAACCTGTCAGATTTGGCAAAAGAGAGATAACCCTGGGGAGCCATCAAGATGACTTCCCAATACGATGGACCCAGGTGAAGCATCGCCTACCGTTTTTTAATCAAGACTGAGACCATCTTTCATCCCGCATAGCACGCCACTGACTGGCACGACAAGGAGACTCGGTTTCCATGGGAATACCCTCTGTGTCCCTCTTATTTTTCTCTAGAAGTTCAGCAGACAGAGAAATGCGATTCTGCTTAGACATTTCAGAGCTGCGCCGACACTGCTGTTTGTTCACAGCATTCTTGACATCATTAAAGTTGAATCAGCTACCCCGATGCGGCTGCTCTATAATTCACAACACTCTCATTGAGATGGAGATCACAAGGCTTTGATGAATTTGAGAGAAAGCGCAGGGCACAGTCACACTTCATTCCCCTTGCAGAATAGCTGGCAGAATGTCCCTCGGGCAGCAGACACTAAGGTGTGCAGTTACAAGAGCCTGCGCATGTCGACATTCACTATCAGTGTAGGTGCATGTGAACTGCTAGATAGAGCAGAAGGGGGACGTGGAGTGAGAAGTCAGGGAACATGTGCCCTTGGGCAGGCATTCTCTCCATATGCCTTGTCTTATAGTCTCCATAATACATAACATCACTCCCTTTTCTTCATAAGGCACAGTGGCACCAGAGACTGCCATTTTTAGCATCCTTCTTGCCATATCTGGTTTGAATTCTTGGAGTGGTGCAAGTGAAATCAGAGGTTAAAACTGATGCCGTGACCCAGGTAGTGAGGTTGGGGTGATTGTAAAAGAGGCCAGCTAGTAAAAAGTTGTCTATTAAATCTCACTCCCCTGGCTTCAAGAGACACATTGATGATAGAGACTGCAGTTTTTGGCATTATTGTTAGCATGCCAATCTTCCATGCATTGAATCCTGCTTGGAGTGGTGCAAGTGAAATCAGAGAGGTTAAAACTGGTGCCGTGACCCGGATGGGAGTGAGGTTTAGGGGTATGAGTGTAACGGAGGCCAGCTAATAAGAGTTATACAAGTTAACCTCATTCTCCTGAATTTAATAAAACATTGACACTATAGAGACTGTAGCTTCTAGCATCCTTGTTAGCATGTTTGCCTCCCAATGCTTGAAATGCTGGTTCGAATCATTCTTGGAGCGGCGCAAGAATTAACGGGGTTACATTAATGCCGTGACCCAGATAGGAGTGTGGTTTGTGGGGGTGAGTGTAATGGAGGCCAGCTAGTAACAGCAGAGTTACTGTGGCCCATGCTATAACATGGTTCAATTTTCACTGCCTTGCATTTTCGCAAATTTTTTTCATAGAATTTGACATACTTTTTTTTTATATAGCACATTGTGTTCTGCATCCTGACTGGCTGTACACCACTGTCTCCATGCAGTGCAGTATCAAATGCATTCAGCTTGCCACATTTACATGAATCTTCGATCACTAGCATTGTGACTCTGAAGTGCTGTACTGTATGTTTGCAAGTTTTCTTCCTATAATGTCGACAAACTGTTTTGCAACATCAAAGGCACCTGTGATAGCACCCAAAAGGCAGAGGAAGATGCTAACCATAGCACAAATAGTAGAACTTTTGGACATGCTAACAGAAGGTAGAATTTACATGGCTGTAGGGCACCATTACGAAACAAATAAATGAAGATCAAATGGTTTTGATCTTTGGTTTCATTCTGTAATACTGGACTTATTTTTCTACGAAGGTTGAACTTTAGGAGTGTTTAAAAAAGAGAGAAAAGTTTAAAAAAGTTAATGACTGTCTGAGAAAAGTGTATAGAGTGTGTGGTGAGGGGTTTTACACCATTAAAACATCAATAATAACAGAAAAAAATAAAGCGGACTACTTCACAGCTTTTGCCTATTGCTTGTTGTTTTTAGAACGTAACGTCTGTGACTGACGAGAGATCACTGTATTTAAGTGAACCTCATGATACACACTGACTCTAGAGACGACATATTTGTTCGCTTGCCCACCTTCCATGCTGGAAACACTATCAAATCCAGCCTGGTGGTGAAAGTAGAATTGTAGGGATTACGCTGGTGCCGTGACCCACATTCTGATAGTTTCTTTTTTTACTAAATATTTGGTTAATTATGTATTTGATATAATTTTGGATCATTCTGAATAAAAGAATAAAAAAATTCATTCATTCATTCATTCATTCATTCATTCATACATTTTCTTTTCAGCTTAGTCCCTTCACCAATGGGGTCGCCACAGCGTAATGAATCACCAACTTATCCAGCACGTTTTACTCAGCGGATGCCCTTACAGCTGCAACCCATCTCTGGGAAACATCCATACACACCCACTCACACCACAGACAATTTAGCCTACCCAATTCACCTGTACCGTATGTCTTTGGACTGTGGGGTAAACCGGAGCACCTGGAGGAATCCCACACGAACACAGGGAGAACAAACTCCACACAGAAACACT